CCGAGAAAGTCTGAAAAACAGGACTTACCACAACAAGGGCAGCAACAGTCCGGATACACCCGACGTGCTTTTTGACCTCTCCAGGTGGTGAAATGCAAAGTTATATACGTGCATTTCTACTTCTTTCCCAACTAGGGATCCGGAGAGGTTCCGAGAACGCTTCCAATTCTGAAGGCAATGTTCTCCGGAGGGGGAACTACAGGCGAGCCAAGGTGAGGGTGTGCTGGCTTCTCCTCCACCACTGACCCCCGCCATCGCCCTCAGAGCTCCTGCCAAGAACTACCTGCCAGCCCGAGAGCGAGCGCCTGCCCACCTTCCCACTCCCGGCCCCACGCTGCCCAGCATCGCCTCCAAACAGAACCCTCAGCAGGGCCTCGCATCTGCTTCCCAGAAGGGAGATAAGAATGGGCTCTGGGTTCTCCGGCAAGCAGCAGCCAGGCTGGTCCTTCTTGTGTGGTGAAACTTGACTCACTCCATTTTCTCTCTCTCTCTTCATCAGAGCGAAATGAGCGAGGGCCAACAGGCCAGGAGCAGCTCCACGGGGGGTGAAGAAGAGAGCCTGGCCGTCTTGCGAAGGTGGGTCTGGTTGTTCCTTCCGGCTCCGCCGAGTGACTGGGCTCCAGACCTACCCAGGAGACAGGACAATATCCACCTTTATGAAAGACAGGCCCCAGACCAGGAAATGAAATCACAAGTGTAGAACAGAAAAGAAGCCAAGAACCCATTAGAGACATGGGTGGCACCATTTCCCCATGCCCAGCAGCAGCAGGGCCCGAGGGTAACCGTGCACACCGGGTGCTAACTGGCATGCATGCCCAACTCGGCCTGGAAGCCACTCTCGGGCTGTTTCTGTTTTTAAGATCCACATTATACATGCCAGCCAATATAACTTGGACCCAAGTTTCCCCTTTGAACATCAGAACCCCAAAAGTAAGAGTGAAGAAAGTTATTCAAAGTCCTTTCACAGCAGTAGCATAGTGGATTATGCATTGGGCTGCTAATTACAAGGTCAGCGATTCAAACCCGCCAGCCACGCTGCAGGAGAAAGACAGGCTTCCTAATCCCATAAAGACTTACAGCCTAGGAACTGCCCAGAGAGGCCGTTCTGGTCACTCTGAGTCAGAATCGGCCCCTTGGTGGGGAACGAAGGACCACACAGCAGGTTTCTTTCCCTTTTCTGAACTGTCTCCCAAGAAGCCCTGCCTGTGCCTCCAGGGTTCAAGAACAGATCAGGATCTGGAATTCGAATAAACTGAGGGTGCAGGCTGGGTCCTATCGCTTCTGGCTTCTGACAAAAGCGAACCAAAATGAAGACTGTCGGAAAGCAAGCCCAGAGGCCCGCAGAGAAGATGAAGAGATTCTCTTTTATGCCCGCCTGGTTTGTGAAGCAGAGAGACCTTCATAGGGTTCCTTCTTCCCTTGCTGCCTGATTTGAATTTGAACCACATGCCTGAGCATCTCCATCCCCAACATGAAAAACTCATTGCTGTGGATTCTGACTCGTAGCAGCTCCACAGGATGGAGTAGAATTGCCCTGTAGGGTTTCCAAGGCTGGCGGCTTTTGGAAGCAGGCTGCCATATCTTTCTCCCATTTATGTTAGGCCGGTTTCTCTCGAGACGTTAGACTAGTGAAGCTTTAGATAGATAGGTAGATAGATTGATATCAACATCTACATCTATCTAAGAACTGGCTCACACAGTTGTGGGCAAGTTCCAAGTCCAAGGGTCAGATGTCCGGATGGAGGCTTCTCTTGACTCAAATAACTGCATGGACCGATAAACCCAACATCGGCAGGTTGTTGACATAGGACAAAGAGCCAGAGGTCAGAGGATGAGCTAGAGGCATGATCCAGACTCAGCAAAAAGAAGCAAACTTTTCCAGAGCATCCATTTATATTGGAATCACCCGCACCCCTGAGGAAGCGTCCTTTCGTACTCATAGATCATGTTATGCAGGGAATCCCCTTTATGTGAGATTTCATCATGAGGGATTACTAGGTCTTAACTGCCAAGCCACTGGGAATCCTGGCCCAGCCGAGTTGGCACAACACCTTAACCTGCAGCCACTGAGTTCCATCACCAACTTTCTGCTTAACAGGCACACACCCATGATGCCACCGGGGCTCCTTCAGGGTCTCATCAGATACCGAATTGTTTTAGAATTGACCATTCTCAGTGGTCTCTGCCCCAATTTTTATGTGTACTAAGACAGACAACTTTATCATGGTCCTCATTGCAAGTCACAGCCTTGGTCTCAAGTACATGAGACAAGAAATCCGCCCCCACCCCCACCCCACCACCGGGACAAGTGGTAAATGGCCCAGGAGATGCCTGGGAGCCGAAGGGGAGCAATGGTTCTTCCTGACGAGAGACTTGGAGAAGCTTAAGAAGGACAGACTTGAGCCTTGAGGGAGGGGATGCTGGGGACGTGTGATTTTTAAGAGAGGGGAGCATGACGTATACATGAAGGACCGGGGCTAATTTTGTTCGGTGGGACATGATGGAACTAAAAATCTAGAAGCTGGATTATGGGATATGCTCTTGGAAACCCTCAAACGGCAGCCCGAGAGATTCTAGACTGTCTGCTGGGCCTGGGGACACGAAGGAAAGTTAGCCATACTCGTAAGGGGCTCGTGACAGCCTACACCAGGGGTCTTCAAACTGTTGAAACGGGGCCAGTTCACTCTCCCTCAGACCCGTTGGTGGGCCAGACTATAGTTTAAAAAAAAAAAAAAAACTATTAACAAATTCCTATACACACTGCACATATCTTATTTTGAAGTTAAAAACAAAACGGGGCAAAAACACCCAGCGGCCTGGATAAATATCCTCGGTGGGCCACATGTGGCCCACGGGCGTAGTTTAAGGACCCCTGGCTAAGGGAAGGGTCACCGAGGGAGTCCAAGCCATGCTCTTAGCCTTGTCCCCAACCTCTGTGTGCCTTGGGCAAGTTACCCACTTTTTGGCCCCTCGGTTTCCTGGTCCACATATAAGAGTTTGGAACACGCTGCAGCTGCCGTCCTGTCTGGCGCTAACACTGCCTTTGCCCTCCTTGTGCACCACAGGCATGTGATGAATGAGCTCCTGGAAACAGAGCGGGCGTATGTGGAAGAGCTCCTGTGCGTCCTTGAGGTGAGCCCCGGGCACGGGTGGCAGCCACTCTGTGGGCTGGGCTCTCATTTAAGCCCTGTGTCTGTTCAGTTTCCAAGTTCCTGCTCGGAAACAAGTGCTTCTGATCACCAGACTGTGGTGAAAGAACATTCTAAGCAGCTGTTTTCATATGGCCCCAAACTGTAGCTCACTCCCTGCCTTTGTGTCCGTGGACCATGCTGTGCAGCAAGGGTGGGCTGTACCACACCCGCACAGTCATCACCCCGCTAACATCACACCCCCGACCAAAGAGAAGCAGCTCCCGCCATCACATTAGGGGTGAGTTCGTGAAATGTTTAACCGGTGTGCCCCACCGATGATGTCATGCATATCCAAATAGAGAACAGGCTCCCCACCTCTGCTGTGCAACAAGGAGAGGGGTCACTGCTTATGTGACCATTGGATGGACCTAACAAGGGTAATAAGGAATAAAACACTCCCCCGCCCCCAAAATGCATGCTGTTCATTTCCATGTGGACGAGGTTTCAGAACAAGCATAAATAATTCAAGGGTGAATAAATCAGCACGGGGCTTACCTATGTGCTGGTTTGATCACTGGGGTCAAGGCAGGGTAGGTGGGGCACAAAGGAGCCTTCTGGATGATGGCAACGCTGTCTCTTGAGCTGGGTGTGGGCACCTGGGTGAGTACATCTGTAAGCAGTGGTGGAGACAGACACATGGGGTCCGTGGTTACTTGCGGGGCTATGGTTAGAAGGTCAGCAGTCAGAAGCCACCAGCCACTCCTCGGGAGAAAGATGAGGCTTTCAGCTCCCATAAAGAAGTACAACCTCGGAAATCCACAGGGGCAGCTCTACCTTGTCCTATAGGGTTGCCAGTTTTTTGAAAAGTTAAAAAGGGAGAAAACAGAAAGCAAGGTTGTTGGGGATCCACCCGGAAGCGATGGATGCTTGTTTTGCCAACCATCTGAGAGATGGTCTGCGCATGAAGTGGATTCGCTTCTGAAAAGCTGAGATAGCTAATCCAACCCCGCTAGCCGACGCTGTGAGTCATGCTCCGTAGGGTTTACAATGTCTGCCTTATCCCAAGTAGGTCACCAGGCGTTTCTCCCAAGATGCCTCTCTCTGGGTGAACACAGAGCCCCGGTCTGGCATTTAGCAGTGAGCACGTTAACCATTTGCGCCACCCATGCTGCTCCAACCCTGCTCCAATCACCACAGAGCCAGGCTCCTGCTGCAGGGCCGATGGGCTCAGTGTCACGTGGCCTGTGTCTCCGTGCCAGCTGCAGTTCAGAATTCCCTGGCCTGACCCCTTTTTTTTAATCATTTTATTGGGGGCTCATACAACTCTTACCACAGTCCATCCATCCATCCATCCATCCATTGAGTCAAGCACATTGGTACATTTGTTGCCATCAACATTTTCAAAACATTTTCTTTCTACTTGAGTCCTTGGTATCAGATCCTCATTTTCTCCTCCCTCCCCTTCCCTCTTATGAACCCTTGATAATGTATAAATTACTATTTTTTCATGTCTTACACTGACTGCTGTCTCCCTTCACCCACTTTTCTGTCGTCCATCCCCCTGGAAGGGGGTTATAGGTAGATCGTTGTGATTGGTTCCTCCTTTCTCCCCCCACCTTCCCCTTCCCCTTCTGGTATGGCTACTCTCAATATTGGCCCTCAAGGGATTATCTGTCCTGGATTCCCTGTGTTTCCAGCTCTTAATCTGTACTGGTCTAGCAGGATGTGTAAGGTCATGATAGTGGGGCAGGGGATAAGCATTAAAGAACTGGAGGAAAGTTGTGTGTTTCATCAGTGCTGTACTGCACCCTGACTGGCCTGACCTCTTTTCTGCTTTCACAGGGCTATGCTGCAGAGATGGAGAACCCCTTAATGATGCATCTTATTTCAGCCAGCCTTCAGAAGAAGAAAGATGTCTTGTTTGGAAATATGGAGGAGATCTATCACTTTCATAACAGGTGAGGGGGCCCTTCGGCTACACACACACACTCTCTCTCAGCGATCTCGCTTGCTTTAAAAGCAGGCTGCCTCCAAGGAGCTGGAACGAAAACACGGATCCTTGGGCTGTGCTGGTGGCTCTCCTCGCCTTCCTCCCTAAGTGCATAGTGACCCCGCAGGAAAGCTATGGACACAAGTAACGGAGTCTAAGTGTGGCATTTCCAGAGGACCTTGCTGGAGTGCTGCAGTGCAGCCCTGCCTTGCTGACTCATGCCCGGAACTAGCTCAAGTATAAATGAGCCTCGCGCTCAGCCTGCATCCTCCCCAGGGCAGAGCTGGGACCGTGCCATACCTTAAGTGCACCTCTGCCTTGTCAGTGCAAGGAAAGAGGGCCAGGCCTGCACCGTGGTGTCTTCTTCCTGGCCTGCTGGGTAAGCAGAAAGTAGTCTGGCCCTGAAATGTGTACATTTGGCACTGTGGACAGGCAATGACTGCTGGGCCACTTCGCAGGGCCCTTGGCAGTCCCCAGTCCAGGCTTGTCCGAGACGGCAGCGCCCCTTTCTTCCCCATGCCCCCCTCCCGAGAGCAAGAAGAAGAGGGTGGGAGTGGTTTGTGTCTTCTGATAACAGTTCTGGGCTTTTTGCCTTCTGGGGCTGCTTGGGCTGTGCTCATCTGAGTGATTGTATTGCTTCCTCTCATACGGCATGTGCATGGGACTCACGGGAGAGCACTACGCAGCGCACACAGGGAAACAGAGCCAGGTTCAGCAGGTGGCTTTGCCTCCTAGAAAGCAAGCCAGCTGCGGGAAGTGAAGTCATGCCACACGCTAGCGCTGCTGTCCGGAGGACGCAGCGCGCCCCACCTTGGGGTCACAGAGCCCAGCTCACTGTGGGAATCGGCTCCCCACCCTCTTCTGGATACTTCCAGGGCACTTGAGACTGCTCTTTCCTCACATGTTTCTCACTCTGCCGGCTTGCACTCCACCCTCACCCCTCACCCCACCCGTTTAGGAGGGAAGCGGCACATCATCAGTTGAGCCCAGGCCCAGGCCTCCCTCTCTTCCCACAGAGGGTGCAAAGAACCTTGGGTGTTGAAATGAGCAGCTACCCTGTTCCCATAGCATCCTCTTGGCTCCCAGCACTGGGGACTTGACTGAAGACCCAGAGTGCAGAGGCCCCCTAGTGGCTGTAAGATGCAGCGCTGTTGTCGGGTGCGGTTGAGTGGACTCACAGCAAACCCAGAGTGACCGCCTATAGGGTCTCCTGGACTGTCATCTTCCTAGGGAGGACTCCTGGTGGTGTACTGGTTGTGTGTTGAGCTGCTAACCATAAGGTCAGAAGTTTGAAACCACTAGCTGCTTCGCAGGAGAGAGATGAGGCTTTCTATCTCAAGATTGACAGGCGAGGAGCTCACAGGGGCTGTTCCCTCCCTCTAGCCTATAGACTCTGAGTCAGAACGGACTTGAGTAGTGAGTTTATTCGTTTGGAAGGGCTAACGTACAAAGCTTCTTTTATTTCCATGGGGGCAATGAGTAACTTTGTTGTTGTTGTTCCTGAAAAGTAGGCCAAACAAGTTTAGGAACCCCACGTGCTTCTCTCTGACAGCCCATGCCGTGCATGGCTATGAGGCCCATTTGCATACGAGGGCCACATATTAGGCAAACATCTAATTACCCCACTCCTAATGCGATGGTGGAACTGCTCTGTGGTGAGGCCTATGATGTTCGCTGGAACGGGGGATTCCAAGGGTGGTCTTTGGCCTGAGGGCCGGATGGTCCCACCCCCTGCCGGTGCCCATGATTTCACGTACTTCCTTATCCTATGTTTGTGCTGCAGGGCTCTCTTCAAGTTTGGTGTGAACTCCATACGCCCAGAGCGTAGCGGGAAATCCAGATTGGCTTTGGAATTTGTTTGCCTGAGAGTTTCATTAGAATCATGATCTCCAGGGAGGTGGAGGGGTGGGCACGAGGGGACTGCTGCTTTCTGAAAGCTGGTTGTGGCCACAAAAGCTACAGACTATCAGTCTTCTAGCAAATGCTTACTCATCTCTTATTATAGGTGGCACGTTATTCAGGTTGGTTTTCCTATAACTACAAACATTTTCTTTGCCTAGAATATTCCTGAGAGAACTAGAAAATTATATCGACTGCCCAGAACTGGTTGGAAGGTGTTTTCTAGAAAGGGTATGTATTTTATTTTTAATGTCTATATTCTCATGCCATTGTCCCTAAAATTGTTAAGTAATATTGACATTAAATTCTGTGACAGTTTCCATTCTAACCAACTGAAATTACAAGGTGCAAATGTTTCTCATTTGGCTGGGATGACTTTTTGGTAATGCCAAAAAATGACAGCTTGTTTTCTTTTTAAGCTCAATAACCAACTCAAATATAAATATATATATATATATACACACATATATGTATGTATGTATATGTATGTATGTATATATGCATATATATAAAATCCTTGTGTCATATATATGTGTGCAGATATATATATGACACAAGGATTCCATGTATGCTAAAATTTTAGAGTGTCAAGTTTGGATTGCAGGTTTGCAAAAAGCTGAACTTTTTGTCACACTGTTGACCCCTCTTTAAAACAGTAGATTTCCTGCTGCCTTCTGAGGATTGTTGGAAAGAACAAAGAAGAGGCTTGTGAAAACACTTATTGTTATTGGGTGCCTGTGTTAGGCCGGGTTGACTAGAGAAACAAATCCAGAGACTCAAATATGTATAAGAAAGAGCTTTGTTTCAAAGAGTAATTGCATGTCAAGAAAACATCCCAGCCCAGTTCAGATCAAGTCTCTAAGTCCAATACTAGTTCATAAGTCAGATACTAGCCCATAAATCTCCTCAGATTCACGCAGCCACATGCACTGATGCAGAATACAGGAAAATCAGAGGCCGGTGGGTGAAACCTCTTGTGGATCCAGTGGTGGTGGACATGGCACAGGGCTCTTGCAGGTCTCAGCGTGGCTCGCAGCAGGAAGGTGAAGGCAGAGAGAGGCCCACCCCCAGACAGCCATTTATCTCGGGGGCACCTCCAAATGAGGTCAACAGGCTATGGCCAGATTGACAGGCTAAACTCCACCCCTTCACGTTTACATCTTCAGGTTAACACTTAATTCTCTAACTACTTGTTAACAGCAAGGTCAGTGGTTCAAACCCACCAGCCACTCCCCGAGAGAAATGGGATTCTGCTGGCATAAAGATTTACAGCCTCAGAAACCCTATTAGTCTGAATGGACTCTGTGGCATGGAGGTCCCACTGGGTCCAAATGAGCTTGATGGCAGTGGGTTAGTGGAACAACCAAGCAACTTTCCTGAAATAAACAGCAAGAGACTGGCATTCTTAATAATAAATTGGTATCAAGAAGCCAGGTAGCAAGGAAGATTAAAGAAAAGGTGCTATTTTTGTTTTGATTGCTCATGGCCATTCATGCATTTCCCAATGCTACTGAGAATCAAAGCAGGGAGAATCACTCCATAAATCGGTGGTTCCCAGTGCTAGTGAGAGTCAGAGTGGGGAGAATCACTCCAGAGGTCTGTGGTTCTCAGTGTGGGGCGCCCAGCTCCAGTGTCAGTGTTTCTTGGGACCCTATTAGAAAAGCAGATCTTCTGACCTCCCTCCCAGCATGAAGCCGAGTCTCTAGGGCAGTGCTTCTGCACCTTCCTAATGCCGCAACCCTTTAATACAGTTCCTCATGTGGTGGTGACCCCAACCATAAGATCATTTTCATTGATACTTCATAACTGTAGTTTTGCTACTGTTATGAATTGGGCGAACCCTGTGAAAGGGTCGTTCGACCCCCAAAGGGGTCGTGACCCACAGGTTGAGAACTGCTGCTCTAGGGCAAGCCTGAGTTTTAAGAATCATGCCAGGGCATCTTGATGGCCCACGAGTTTGGAAATGACTAACCTGATGCTATAGGATAGCCTCTGGAAATCTTTTCTTTACAAAGTTGTGTTGGGGTTGCATGTACTTTTCACCAGTCTCCTATTCCTGTGAGGGAACCCTAGTGGCGTAGTGGTTATGCATTGAGCTGCTAATTGCAGGGTTAGCAGTTCAAAACACCCAGGTGCTCCTCGGGAGAAGACAAGCCTTTTTTACTCCCATTAAGAGTTACAGTCTTGAAAACTCACAGGGCAGTTCTACCCTGGCCTGTAAGGTCACTGTGAGTCGGCATCGACTCAATGGCAGTGAGTTATTCCTGTGAGCTCATCTCTCATAACGAGAGATCAGAGGACTAGAGTAGACTTGGGAAATGAACTGCTGGTAGGCATTACCACCGAGCTTGCCTGACAGTGTGTATGTGTGATGGCCGTCCGACTGGAGGTTGGACAGGGATGGAAAGCAGAGCTCAAGACAGGACCCTGGGCTGAGGCAATAGGCAAGCTGCACACTATTCCATGTTTCCTTAAGGCCTGCGTAGTTTGCTGAGCTGGACCATGGTTTGTCCCCAGTCAGCCACAAGTCCCGTGTTCTATTCTCATGTCCACTTCTCAGCCAGGAGCCACAGTCCAGCGGCCCAGAGCTTTCTGTAATAAACGGGGGTGACCACGCCTTGCTTGGGAACTGCAGTGGGCACTGCCAGGAAGGGAGCCACTTCCTGCTGTCCTGGCCCAGAAATGAGCCCAGTGAAAGGTGCAGCCCCGAGAGCCATATCGTCTGCCCCGGGAACACAATGAGCAGTCATGTTATGTTCCCACAGAAGGCTTAGGCTTGGCAAATACCCCACGGCCTTTACCCAGGGCCAGGGAAGAACCTGGCAGTGTAGTTTATGTTAAAGAGACTTCACTTTTTTTCTTTTATGGGAGCTGTTTTCATTTTACAGAAATATCCTGTAGAAGGCCATCCCCCTCTGCCCTGCACACACTCAAGCCTGTCACTAATGCCTCGCCTTCCCAGGTCTGTTGTTGGCTATTCACTCATGAACCGACACTGAGCCATTAGTATTAGCTGACCACAGAGGCGATTGCCAGCGGGTCTGGTGAAGCCCCAGCTCCACCCCCACCCCTCACCCCCGGTGCCCCGGGGGGCTTTCAGGGTTTTCTCACTTACGGCAGCAGGCCTTTCTTCCCAGGTGCTCAAGCCTCCAGCAGCCAGGGCTGTCTCTGCGGCACGGTGGGACGCGCTGTACCACAGGCAGTCCCTTTGGCATGGCACAGCCCTCCGGGGTATTGGCAGAGGCATCGTGTCACACACAGTGTCACTGCCCAGAAAATGTCCCGAGCACCACCTGCTCATCCCTTATCCCCTACACTAAATAATAACAGTAACAAGAAACGGAAGCTGTAGCTGAGCCTTTACTAGACACACCTGTGGAGTAATTCTTACGGGGCAGAACCCCATGACCACTCTACCAGCATCCGATCTAAGGTTCTGTGCCAGGGGCGGCTGGGGCTGCCTCTCCTCAGAAACCGGGAGAGCCCCACCACAGCGCCAGTGCTCTGCAAAGGCAGCTGGCAAGCGGCGTCACCTCCCGAGACATCCTGTAACAAGGCGGGCGCCTGTCCCTTCTGTCTCCATCCAGATGGAAGATTTTCAGATTTATGAGAAGTACTGTCAGAACAAGCCCCGGTCCGAGAGCCTCTGGCGGCAGTGCTCCGACTGCCCCTTTTTCCAGGTATGCGTGTAAACGGTCTTCAGCATGGGAGCCCAGTCCCTGGTCCATGAAGCGCAGTGAAAATGGTCTAAGCCAGTGTTGCCCCCTGGGATGGAGTGGGGTGGGACACTGGAACAGTCCAGTAGGGGCTGCAAACACACACATCTATGCTTTATCCTCAGTTCTGGGCTGTAGGACAAAGGGTTTCCATTGCCGGGGGTGGATGGTGGAGTGGGCACCAAGTCTTATTTTTTTCTTTTTCCTCCGAAAAGCGGGTGGTAAGCCAAATAAGTTGGGAGCCTCTGCTCTAAACTAAAGGGTGTCTCCCTGGTTGTAGGAGTGCCAGAAGAAATTGGACCACAAGCTGAGCTTGGATTCTTACCTGCTGAAACCTGTTCAGAGAATCACCAAGTATCAATTATTACTCAAGGTAAGAAGCCCCACCCAGAGAGGGGACACCTGTTGTTCAAACCTAAATTCAGAAGAGAGGGCTCTTCATACATTGTGTCACCGCAGCTCATCTGCTGTCTGGCCCTCAGCACTGCCCATTGCTATATCTGCCAACTGCCCACAGGACCTCCGGTGCTCTCCTTTGGGTCCTGGGCTGCTTTTCCCCCCAGGCCTCTGCTTCAAGTGTCACCCTATGAACCCCTGGACCCTATCAGCGTCTTCCCCCACCTTCTTCTACCCAGACCCATCAGGACAAAGGTCATTTGGAGGGAGTTACAGAGACTCTGTCTAGAAGAGTCACATGAAATAAATCGCTGGACTACAGTATCCAAACAAAAACCGTGACCATGAGCTTTGCTCTTGTCTGGTCTGCTTTTGCCTTAACTGGACCCCTTCCACCTTTGTTTTCAGAAGAATACTGATAAAGCCATAGTTCATCTTCTGTTTGAATTTTCCCAAGAAATTCTTCAGGATCTTGATCCCCCATCTTTAGAACCAGCCAGGGCCTGCATTTCCCAGAAGGCTGTTGGCTACGCTGACATCATAGCCTAAGCGTTCATGCAGCCGGACAAGAGTAGCAAGCTTGGGGGGGGTGGGGCATAGGGGGTGTTCAGGCAAGCTGGAAGGTTTTCAGTGCTGGGTGTGGAAACATGTCTTCATTGTCATGTCCCCCACCCCTCAGGAAATGCTGAAGTACAGCAAGAACTGTGAGGGGGCCGAGGACCTGCAGGAGGCGCTGAGTTCCATCCTGGGGATCCTCAAGGCTGTCAATGACTCCATGCACCTGATCGCCATCACCGGCTATGATGTAAGTGATGCTGCATTCGGAAGGCACAGCCCAACTCTCTCCTCGAGGCCTCAGAATGGCAGACTGTGCTAAGGAGCCCTTGCTGTATGGGGCAGGGGCAGGGGCAAGAGCAGCCAGAGGGAAGACCACTGACGTGGGAGAGCTGTGTTTGCTCTGCACCACCTGTGCGTCTCACCTGGCATCTTGTTAAAGGGCAGGTTCTGAGTCAGTAGGTCTGTGGTGGGGCCTGAGCTGAACAGACTCCCCAGAGAGTGCTGAGGCCGCGTCTGCTAACCAGGAATAGCGGGTGTGCAGGGGGCATCCATGAGCAACCGCCACCTTGGTCTGAAGCCAATCTCATGGCCTTGACCTCAGGACAGTCGGAATTTTGCATAGCATCTTTTAGTGCCGAGGGGAGTTTGCAAGCAACCTCAGTGCTTCGTCTGTTCTCTTCAGGGCCACTAGTGGGTTGGTGATGTACAATAAGTGGCAATACAATTCTGGTTTCTGCTGTCTCCCTTTGATGCCCATAGTGTGTCTTTTTTAAAAAAAATCCTTTTATTGGGGGCTCTTACCACAGTCCATCCATTGTGTCAAGCATTTTTGTACAGAGATTGCCATCATCATTTTCAAAACGTTTTCTTTCTACTTGATTCCTGGTATCAGCTCCTCATTTCCCCCTCCCTCCCTCAGGAACCCTTGAGCAACTATAAATATAGCATGCCTTTCACTAAGGCTGCTGCTAGTTCCGCCCTTCCTTCACTTTTGCCTCTCCCTCCTTCGCCTTCTCCCTCCTTCTCTCCTCGCCCCCTCCATGTCCTTCTCCAGTGTTCATTTGCCTCGTTCCTCTCCTCTTCCCCCACAGTCTCAGAAACCCCCAGGGGACGTTCTACCCTGTCCTGTGGGTCAGCAGTGACACAATGGCAGGGAGCAGAGCTTCTCTCTCCCCTTCCTCCTCGGCCCTGGTTCTAATGACGGGCCTCTCCGCCCATCCACCCCGCACTCACTGTCCTCCCTGTCTGACCTTCAGGGGAACCTCAGCGACCTGGGGAAGCTGCTGATGCAGGGCTCCTTCAGCGTCTGGACGGACCACAAGAAGGGCCACGCCAAGGTGAAGGACTTGGCCCGGTTTAAGCCGATGCAGCGGCACCTGTTCCTGCACGAGAAGGCGGTTCTCTTCTGCAAGAAGAGGGAGGAAAACGGGGAGGGCTACGAGAAAGCCCCCTCATACAGCTACAAGCAGTCCCTCAACGTAAGCACAGGGCCCATGGGCGGCACCAGTGCATCCCTCCAGCTAACCCCGAGAGGGAAACCGTGTGGCATCATGACTCAGGGTTAGACTCGAATTTAAACCTCGACAGGTTTGAGACATTCTTAGCCCGCACCACAAAAAGCACGTCTCTCGTGGGATGCAGGCAACTAACTGACTTCTTTAAAAGATGAACTTGGGTGCTTCCCGCATGCTTCTTAATTCCTGTTCTCCAATCTTGCCTTGGCCAGATGACTGCGGTTGGCATAACAGAGAACATCAAGGGGGACAGTAAGAAATTTGAAATCTGGTACAACGCAAGAGAAGAAGTGTACATCATCCAGGTAGGAGTCGCCTGTCTGTTGCTTCTTGGCCACGCTGTAAGGCTTCAGTGGACCCTCTTGAGAATGGCCAGTGGAAAGCTGCTAATGAGGGCTGGTGTGCAGAAGGCTTTATCACCCATGCAGAGGTCAGGGCCATGCAGGAACTCAGTCCCGGGCCCAGGGGAGATGCAAACCAGGGGCTTTACCGAGATTAAAATCGAAAATGGATGCCAACTAACAAAGTTTCCAGGCCGTGTGGACCATGCACACATGAGAACGGAGAAACTAACTCCGTCATGTCTGCTGCGCAGTGTCTGGATTCTTCCAGTCAGAAAGTATATTCCCAGGCCCTGCCTTAAGTCCTTTTTAGGTTGACGACGGTGGGGGGATGTCTATTCAATGTCTATTTAGAGCACCCCCTGGCAAGGCCAATAGGAGCCCTAGTGGCGTAGCGGTTTTGCTTTGGGCTGCTAACCACAAAGTCAGAAGTTCAAAACCAACGGCAGCTCCATAGGAGAGAGACAGGGTGTTGTACTCCCATAAAGAGTTAGTTCTTAAATGCTTCCTCCCCACCCACTAGCATGATCATAATTCTACCTTACAAATCTGGCTAGACCAGAGGATGTACACTGGTACAGATAGCGACTGGAAACACAGGGAATCCAAGACAGATGACTCCTTCAGGACCAGTGGTGAGAGAGGCGAGGCCTGGAGGGTGAAGGGAATATGAGGTAGAAAGGGGGAACCGATTACAAGAATCTAAGTATTGCCTCCTCCCTGGGGGAGGGACAGCAGATAAGAGGGTATGGGGAGACGTCGGAGAGTGTAACTTATGACAAAACTATAATAAGCTATGAATTATGCAGGGTTGAGGAGGGAGGGAGTAAATGAGCAACTGATATTAAGGGCTAAAGTGGAAGACAAATGTTTTGAGAATGATGAGGGCAACAAATGTACATATGTGCTTGGCACAACGGATGTATGTATGGATTGTGATAAGAGTTGTACGAGCCCCCAATAAAATAATTTTTAAAAAGAGTTAACAGTCTTGGAAACCCACAGGGGCAACTCTACCCTGTCCTACAGGGTCGCCGCTGTAAGTCAGAATCAGCTCTACGGCAGTGAGTTTGGTTTAGAGTTAATGGCAAGACCCACAGGAGCCCTAGTGGCTTCATGGGGTCTGAGGTGAGCTGTTAACTGCGAAGCCAGCAGTTCAAAACCACCAGTCACTCCAGAGGAGGTGAGGCTTTCTGCTCCCATAGAGCATTAGAGTCCGAGAAAGCCACAGGGGCAGTTCTACCCTGTCCTATAGCTTCACTTTGAATCAGAATTGGCTCGATGGTAATGCCTTAGAACCCCGATCACCCAGCTAATTACTTTAAATGTGTGCGTGGTGGATCACTTTGCTGTAGGTGACTCATCGGGCTACCAACCATAAGGTCCGCAGTTAGAAACCATCAGCCATTGGGTGGGCCAAAGATGAAGCTGTCTCCTCTTGTAAAGAGTGGCAATCTCAGAAGCCCACAGGGGCATTTCTTTACTGTCCTACAGGGTCGCTATGCGTCCATACCAACTTGATGGCAGGGAGGGTTTTCTGTTGCTTTTTTTCTCTTTTGGTGTGGGGAGGGAGTCGTTTTAATGGCAAGACCCAAGTGTCCTGTCAGTAATTAAGCTAAGCACAGGCAGATCTGCCTTTCAGAATTCAACGTCCATGGAAACCATAGGCCTGTCTTCCAGCCTTCTCAGGATGGGGTAGGCCCAGGCGGTTGACCCACCCGCTACACAGCATGGGCCCAGACTGACGGGCCCTATAGCACCAAAATGGGGACAGGGCCCTGGCTCTGGCTCCGGCTGCCATCCGCAGCCAACAGCTCTGAAGTAAGGATCCAGGAGAGCTGCCAGGAACCTAGTATGAGCCTGAAGGTGTCAGCTCGACATCTTCTGAGCCCCACTCTGGTGCGAGGCTCAGGCCCTGCAGCAAGAGCAAGGCCAGCTGCGAGGTCTAGGTCCACACATCTTGATTACCCTGTGGTCCAGCACCTGCTGTGGAGAGTCACTTAGAGTTGACTATGAGGTTTACTGGTCACCCTAAAAAAGTCAGTGGGCTTTCCACAGAAACACACCAGGGTTCGTTTACAGCCATGCCAGTTCAACAGCTAGTTTGGTTGGTTATGGGGTCTGGGTTCATTCAATCTGCTAACTGGCTTTTGAGCGCCGCCTGGTGCCAAGAACGAGTCCTGCACTGGCTATTTCCAGTCCTGCACTTGCCCTTGTAGCCAAGAGTCCACATGGCAAGATGTGTCCACCCATTTTTTCCCCCTTTCTTGTTTCTTACAGTCAGGGGTTGGTTATTAAATGCCCTCGACTGTCCGGAGACGTCACCAGAGTGAGATTCTAACGCTTATTCCTTAACAATATTTTGGTTCTTACCCACTGGCGTCTATTTTGCGGGGACAGGCACCAACTCCCGAGATCAAAGCAGCCTGGGTGAATGAAATCCGCAAAGTGCTGACCAGCCAACTGCAGGCTTGTAGAGGTAAGGGCAGTGGGGACGGTTCGTTTCTCTGTGCTTGGGCTCCAGGTGTACTGTGACTTTTGCCTGAACGCAGCACAATATTGTTACCTCTCCTAGAGAGGTTAGCGTGTACAAGAAAAGACGCCAGAGGCAACTCCTGTGTCGTGAATGGCTGGTTTCTTTGTCCCCTCATTGCAGAAGCCAGTCAGCATAGGGCACTGGAGCAGTCCCAGAGCTTACCTCTGCCCATGTCGTCCAACACCAGGTGAGTGTGACCGTACAGGTAAAACGCCACTGTGCTGGGAAGACTCCACGGTGGGCTTGGGGCATCTCCACCTTTTAGCCAGCGTGACTGATAGCTGCATGCTGTTCATGATAGCCCAGAGGGGGGCCAACCGAGTGCCACCACCGTGGGGGACCCTTGCAGACACGCTCAGTGAAAAATCAGTCCACACATAAAGCGTCCAACACTGTAGGATCCCACTTAGGTGCGATATCCAGGACAGGCAAAATATGCACCCCAAGAAACAGAACTGTACTTGCGGTTCCAAGGGCTTGTGGGGTAAGAGGAAATGGGGGTGCTTAGTTGAGCGGCATTGAGTTTCTGTTTGGAAACTGTGGTAATGGCTTCACAGCAAGGTGCAAGTATTGAGGTCCCTGAATTGTACACTTATAAAGGGTTAAAACAGAAGATCTTCCCCACCACACACACACACATTGTACAGAGAAAGAGAGAAATTGTGCTGTTTGAGGTCTGAGTAAGAAGCCGTGTTTTGAATAATTAACCTGGTAATGTACTTTTCCTTTTTCCTTCTTTTTGGTGGCCCTTGGGTCCCTAGCCCCTCCAAAGGAAATCCGAAAGCTATCAAGAAGTCAGAAGAAAGAAAAACGGACCCTCTAAGCCTGGAAGGATATGTGAGCTCAACGCCATTGCCAAAGCCCCCCGAAAAGGGCAAAGGTGGGTGTCTGTTGTAACTGAGCCCCGGGCGTACATAGAGGTGGCGCGATGATGCTGGAGACCAGGGTGTCAGGGCCACCCCTCATGTTAGAAGCACACAGCATTTGTAAAGAGCCCGGCACGTTCTTCTTGTGTGCTGCAGAAGAAGCCATGTCAGGGCTGTGGTGGGGCTGAGGTTGGGTCCCCACACAGCAAGCCCAGCCCAGAAAGGCCGTTTTGAGTCCCAAAGTCTGGACATCTGTCAACTGTGACCTCTATCCGACTTCCCTGCTGGGCCCTCCTTGGGCTGGGGGTGGGGTGTCCACACCCTACATGTGTGTGTGTCTCTCTCTCTTCCTTTGTAGATGACACAGTCACTAGTTCTACCTCAGAGAGCTCGGCGCTTTCCAAAAAGCGCTTTACCCTGCAGGGCTTTGCTAACCTCAAAGGTCAGAAAGGTAACAAGGCACACACTCCCCCGCCCCCTGAAGCGTCCATCGGCTGTGCCCTGTCTGTGCTCCATCTGTGTGGTGGTCATTCATGGGGGCGGGCTCCTCCTTCATCGCTGCAGTGGGGCCTGTGTGCGCGAGTCCCCACCGAATCACCGATGGCGGGGGCGCATGGGGAGGAATGCCGTGGGTGACCAGATTTAAGATTTCTGTTTCTCCATGAACTTTTTTGCGCCCTCTCTCAAAGAGGGAGCGGGGCATGTCTGATGAAGACTGGAGTGGCCGTCAGTCAGCTGACCTGGTGGCCCTCCCTCCTCCTGTTCCCGCCCAGCTGTGGTGATGGTTTTTCTGCCAGGGTGGTGAGGGCTGCCAAGGTAGATGAGCCTAGCTGGGCAAGTGAACAGAGCTGATAAAGGATCCCTTTAGGGCACACGTTCCCAAAGACCTACACCCTTTTCAGAACGGAAAAAATAAAGTGTATTGAGTCCCCTCTCCCCTCCCAGCCAGTTATAAACTTCTGGTCTGCAGCCCAGGAGCCCCAGCGGAGGAGGGTTACATGGTCAACTGCAGGCTGCAAGGCCGGCAGATGGAGACCACTGACTACTCCAAGAGAGGAAGACGGTCCTTTCCACTCCCAGAAAGCATTACCATCTCGAAAACCCACAGGAACAGTTCTACCCTGTCCTCTGGGTTCGCTATGAGTCGGCATTAACTTGATGACAGTGGGTCTGGTCCTACAGCGCATGGAGCCCTGATGGTGAGCAGTTTGAAACCACTAGCCACTCCAAGGGAGAAAGAGGAGGCTCCCTACTCCTGTAAAGAGTTACAGTCTCAGAAACCCACAGGGGCAGTGCTCCCTGTCAGAAGAAGTCCCTGTTACTCAGCATGGACTGGAAGGCCATGAACTGTTGCACCGAAGGCTCTGCCCAGCAGCCCCGAGGGGCAGTCTGGCTCACGCTGGGAAACACCCTTTAGTTAGTGCCAGTTAGAACGCACTCCCTTGTGAAGCAACCCCGACATCCCAGCCTCCTGATGCGAAAAGCCAATGTTGTCCGAGGTTCTTTTGATGAGTCCAAATACTTTGTTGTCTCCCCCACCCGCCGCCGCCGCCCATTTATAAACTGGATAAATTTGCTTCTTGCTGAGAGCAGAGGGAGGGCAGCAAGAAAGAATGACAGAATGGATAAAAGAAAGGAGACCACAAAGCTAAGAGCATGCGCCTAGAGGTGGCCCCACCATGGGCCCCTGTGCGTGTGCACCCGCCACCTCTCCCTGTCAGCCCGGGCAGGGGCCGGGTCTCAGGCCAGCATGAGCTCCGAGGTGCCTCGCACGGAACCCCCCACCCTTCTGCACATTTCCTCACTCTGTCTCTCCTCTGTTCTGTGTTTCCCTCCTCCTCCTCCTTCTGCAGCTTCTCCTACCAGTCCCGACAAAAAAGCTAAGCGGCACGAAGTAAAGAGCGACCCAACTCCTTTTGGTTTAAGAGGTAGAGTGTGCCCACCTTCTGCACGCGGCTGCCCGCCCACCTGGGCCCAGTTAGGAACACTCACTGGCTGGCCGTTACCAGCCATCCGACATGGGAGACTCTGTGCTGACCAGAAACACCGGCGTCGCTTCAGTCAGAAGCCGGGGACTCTGGCTGCGAATATGATGATGGTCTTCATGCTTCTCAGTGTCCCTCCCCCAGCCAGATGCACCCGGCTCCTTCCAAACTGGGTAGCCCCAGGGCCCAGCTGGTTGCTCTTGGCATCTGGTCAGCAGTTGGTTTGGTTTGGGTTTTACTTTGTTCATAGTATCCCCCGCAACAGCAGGCCTAGCCCTGCTCCTCCCACCCCGCATGCCCCGACCTCCTGCTTCACCAATTTGGAGCCATATAGCATAATCCCTTGCAAGTCCTGATTTTGAGAGACTATTGTATTATCCTTATCACCGTTTCTTCATGGAGCGCTCATGGACACTGGCTCTGTCCTTCCAATTATGTAGCCCTTCTGTATTAGACAGGGTTCTCTAGAGAAACAAAACCAATACACTAACTATCGCACCTGCCCACCCCCCTCTCCCGGGCCCCTCCTCCCTCAGTAGCATCAACAGATGGCCACCTAAGATTCCAATCTCTCTAATATTTCAACTTGCTCTTGTCAGTTTACTCCGGTATACGTAGACCTTAGGAGAGCAAGTGCATAAGGCAGACATTCACATTCTTTAGTAGTTAAGATAAACTTGTGTTTGGTGCTAACTCCTCATTTTATGGAGAAGTCAGCCCAGCCCATACAGCCGGACGCACGCAGGCTTGATACTGGATCTTACATCTTATTATTTTGTGTTCAGTTCATAATCAAAGGAAACCCAAAGTTTTCCCTGGCTTAGGTTGGGAGTACGGAGCCCTGGTGGCAGAGCAGGCTCTTGATGAGGCTGCTACCCACAAGGTCAGCAGTTTGAACCCACCCGTGGCTCCAAGGGGGAAACATGACGTTTTCGGTTTCCCTAAAGATTGACAGCCTGAGAAATCCAAAGGGGGCTGCTCTGCTCCTTCCCACAGAGGCACTGTGGAGTTGGCACCCTCTAGCTGGCAGTGGGTGTGGGTTTTTGAGGTGATTTGAGGTTGAAGGTCTCAAGTTCACAGAAGTTCACTTTCAGAATCTTCCAGAGTTCCCCAAACACCTACAAAGAGTTGCACAGAGATCCCTCGCCCTTCCCTGAAGCCCAACAAGAGTCACTCCAGGCCCCAGGGCCCGGATGAGTGGCCTCTTTGCTGCTCTCCTGCACAAAAGTGCAGGGGTAGAAAGTGCCCCAGCTCCCTGCCTCCGAGTAGTTTGCTGCCATTGCAGCCCTGTAGCCGGAGGGTGTGACATAAAACATTCTATCATCTGCTGCCTCCTATCAAAATGTAAGGTGCATTTTTGCTCATTAAACATTTTCCACTGCCGGCCGGGAGACCCCCCCCAAAGCAGTTAGTGGCTCCAAGGGATAACTGGAAGTGGGTGCCGTGGTGTCGGGAATGTGGCCCCCGAACCAGACTTACTGGTGGCCCAGACACTGGTTCCAGGGCTTTTTTTTTGTTTTTAACCACGGGATGACGTCCCCTCTCTGAGTTTCCAGACAACCTGGCAGGGTTGTAATGAAGACAGAAAGAGATATCATGTGTAAAGCCCTGAGCCCAGCCAGCACCTAGGAGCAAGCTGTCAAACAGCACCACCACTATCATCATTAGCAAAAATGAACGGCCCTCATTAGCATAAACAAAAGCAGTGTCATCACTGTTCACTGTCTGTCCCAGATGACGACGAGCCCCTGGCCCTGGAAGGCTGGGGCCACTGCAGTTGCTCACTGGCCTCCTGAAAAGCCCTCAGCTGGCTGCTGTCCCTCCTTGGCGATGCCAGGGAATAGAAGTGACCATAGTCACTATCACCTTGGCCTCCTGTAAAACGTCCCCTACAATCATACAAGGATTCCTGGTGGTGGTGTAGTGGGTATGCGTTGGGCTGCTTATCACAAGGTCAGCAGTTCAAAACCACCAGCTGCCCTGAGGGAAAGATGAGGCTTTCTACTCCCGTGCAGAATTAAAATCTGGGAAACCCACGGGCAGCTCTACCCTGCCCTGGAGCATCGGAATCCCCTTGATGGCAGTGCAGGGAACACGCTAAAGGGGGTGCAGAGTAACCTGACCCTCATTTCCAGTTCCACGTCCATCCCGTTGCTTGTTCTGGGTTATTGCTGTGGACAGGGTTAGATTTCAGCACTGGCCTGCTCACCCTGAGGACAGTGACCCCAGATGAGGAAAATGCCTGCAGAGGCCCTCAGTCTGGAAGCCATTGTCCCTGGAGGTGCCTGGGGCAGGTTTGTTGGGGCTTTCCCAGCCCACCGCTCTTCCAAAGGAAGGTGGTCCTAGGAATACTTTTTTGGAGCCAGTGCTTTCTTCCCAGCCACAGCAGCTCCTGAGACAGAAAGGCTGTTTGTAAACTGATTTTCGCTTCCTGTTTTCCCAGAAGCGCCATATAAATGCTTCGGGACAAGCAGGGTGATGGGCTGGAGCAAGAAGAATCTTCTAGACAGTCCCCCCCAGCAGGGGCTCCCATGGTCAGACCCTGACTCCACCCTCCATCCTGACACCCCCACCCACCCACCCGAATGCCCTTACTTAGCTCCTCACACTTCACATGTCCCCACCGCAGGCAGCCTGGAGGAGATTTGTAGCTTTAAAAAGAAAAAAGACAAACCCAGACATTCCCAAATGGTTGCACACATGCACGTCTCCTAATGCCACCGAGCAGGGCCAAGTAGCTTAGCACCTCGCACCTGGTCCCCGCAGCCCTGCCCCCGGGCTCTCCAAGGCCCCTGGCCCCTGCCCTGGGTGCAGTGAAGCCCGAGCCTACAGCTCCCAGGGCGCTAGTGCTGCAGGCACCCTGGGCTCCAGTCCCTGAGAAACTCACTGCTTCCTCTGCCGGGTCCCAGGTTCTGCTGGCTCGGGGAGAACTCTTTGCTCACAACTCCCTTTGTCTTTCCAGACCAGAGCTGGCTTTCAAAGTCCTCCCTCCAGCTTGCCTCTCCTTGCCAGCCTTCCAGTCCACTGGCAGGCTATCTCTGGACAGGCTCCCCAAGCTTAATAAAGTGGAGGTGGGGGTTTATGCACTGTTGGCATACCTTCACATAGCTAGCACCCCCTGTTCCTTGGGGGAAGCCTGCGGCCAGCTGCTCCAAGCAGCTAGAATGGGATGTGCCAACACTGGACTGCTCGCATATGCCCGTTTCCTGCTCAGAATGGCCTGGGGGGTGGAGCCCTGTAGATGACTGTGAGACCACACCTCCAGAGTTTAAGTTCGGTGTGTTGCCCCAGGACCGCATTTCTTGTACCGATTCAGCATGGTGCTGGGATTTTGTCGGCCACTGTTTTGAGTCCAAAAGGCCGTTTTATTTCCCCTTTATGTTACGCTGCTAATTACAAGGGTCAGCCGTTTGAAACCCACCCGCAGCTCCGAGAAAGAAAGATGAGGCTTTCTACTCCATTCAAGAGTTAAGTCTCAGCTCTGCCCTGCCTTCAGGGTCACTGTGAGTTGGAATCCACTCAGTGGCAGCCAGCTTGGGCTTGGTTTGGGTTTCCTTTGCTCTTTCCTCCTTGCTAGCCTGGTGGAGGTAGCTGCGAGGGCTGGCTGTGGAGCTGACTGCCCAGGTTTGAATCCTAGCTTTGCCACTGCCTGCCTGTGTGACCTGAGACCTGCCATCTAACATCTGTGTGCTTCCGCTTACTCATCTATGAAATAGGTATTCCCAGGCCTGCCTGCCCCTCAAGGTGGTTGAAGAGCCTAAATCAATGAACACAGGTCTAGTGCTTAGAACTGGCATTTGGTGTGCACTCAAGGAACACTCACTATTGCGAGTAGCAGCAGCTTCACCTGACACAGTTCTGACCTATGTGAAGAGAGCAAGCATTTCTTCCAAAGCTGCCTTCTCTGGCATGGGTATTTACTGCAGCGCTGGGACACAGGTAGGGGGGAGGGTCTTCAGTTCATTGTCACTCAGAGTTTCCGCATTTCCTCAGACATAGGCTGACAATATTCCTGCTGGCATTGCTTTCCTGTTTCTGGGGGGCCAGCGCCTGGCTGGCCTCCTGCAGGAGCTGAGGTCCAGACTGGGCTATGGAGGGGCCAGGAAGGCACTGCCTTCCATGCAGTTGCCTGAGCAAAGGCTGTCCAATGCTTCTCTGCCCTGCCTGCTAAGGACAGTTCGGACCATTCATGGCAGGCGTTTTGAAAGTATAAAGTTGTGTCCCTGACAGCCAGGTAGGATGTCCCACACAGTGGCAGGCTCTTCTTGGGACGATATAGTGACACATTGAAGGGACATCTGTGGGGACTTTGGTAGGCCACACCTGGCACAGGCCACCATTTGAGACAAGGACTGCCCTCCCTAGGAGAGATCTTCACTGGGGTCTGTTCCTCTCATAGGTTGGAGCAAAACGTCTCATTCCCTGGAGGCCTCAGAAGACAACGATGGCTGGTCCAGCGCAGAGGAGCCGATTAATTCATCGGATGCTGAGGAAGAAAGCGGAGCAGGCCCCAACAGACTGGTAACTTTGTTGTCCCTGGCCATGGTCGCTCACAGAGGGTGGGAGTGCTGGTATTCCCCAGAACTGTCCCAGGCTCAATCCTCTTGGTTTGCTCACAGCGTCTCGTAGCTGTGAGATGTCTTTCTCCCGTGCCCTCTGCTTACCCGTCAGTGGTCCAGAGCTTCTAGCCCCGCCCCCAGCCTCTCTGAGTTGCCCTCAAATGGAGTCCGGCCCATGAACAATCAAAAGAGACATAGCCCCGATCTCTTGGTGATTGGGAGGCTCATGTCCATATCCCACAGGATCAAGAACTGCTCCACCGAGCTTCCAAAGCTGTAAATCTCATGGAATCAGAATCCCCCACCTCTCTTTCTCCCTCAGAGTGGCAGGTTCACAGATGAAGGGAGAGATGTGACATGCAGAGACTGACTCAGGACCAACGGCAGCGGCCTAGAAAAGCTTGGGTGTTAAAGGGCCCCTCAGGCAGGAAAGGAAACTGGGTCAGGAAGCGGGCCCCACAGGCCCCAGAAGGAATATGGGGTTTGCTCTCGGTGTCACAGGGTTAGTATGATCCCACCCCCTTATTTGTAATGAAGACCCTGGCTGCTCTGGCGTGTTGAGGATGGCCGCAGGGCCCAGGTGGAAGGTGACTGCAGGCTCGTCCTGTTAAGAGGTCACAGTGGCCTCATGAGCACGAAGGGGACTTCCTACTCCCTTTGCTTCCAGATGCCTGACCAGCCGAAGGCCACAGTCCAGCTGCACGGATAGTGACTGTTAGCACCACCCTGGGGCTCCATAGAATTATAGCACTATTCTAAGTGTATGGGAGTCCCGGGGGCATAGTGGGTTACATATTGGACTGCGAACCGTAGGTCGGCAGTTCAAACCCACCAGCCGTGCCTTGGGAGAAAGATGAGACCGTTTGCCCCCATAAAGATTCACAGTCAAAGAGATTTAATGTGAAAGTGTATGTGAGTATGATATCAAGAACACTACTTTTAAAAAAGCTTGACGTATGGTTACCATGGGTGAAGTAGGAATAGTTTTTGCTTAGGAGGTATTAACTTTATGTCCGTGATGGTGGGATAACATCTACCATTTGGGAAAGAATATCAATAACGGTTGAACAACACAAAGAATATAATTCATGGCACTGAATTATACATATAGAATTTGTTGGATTGGAGAATGTTTTGTTGTGTATATCTTTGCCAAAATCAAAAAGTAATAATTACACAAATAGCAGTGAGTATAAGGAAGTAGAAAATGTTATAAAATTGATTGTGGTAATGATTCTACAGTGAAATCCAGCCCCACAGTCAAACATGTCTGTAGGAGCGACATGTGCAATTGAAGAAATGGGGAGAGAGAAAAGACGGGCACAAGTGTCTCGTCTTCAATGGCTAAAGCAGAAGAGAGTGAGTTTATTCAACAGTGAGTTTATATAGTAGCTGGCCTGCAGGCCTCCAGGAGGCCCATGCTCAATAGAATGGGCAGTGTGTGAATCGTGAACATCAGAGCTCCTTAGGAGAACTCTTCATAAGTATCAGACATTTCAGAGACAAAAGGAGGCATTGGCTCCTTGAGTGATAGGAACAAAAGGAATTGGACTGTTCTTAAAGCTAGACATCCTTAACTTCATAGGGAGGGAGGAGCCAGGTGCCTAGAGGATAAGGTGACCAGACGTCCCGCTTTTGGCGGACAGTCCCGATTTTTTTTTTTTTAAGTCCCGATTTTTGGAAAGAATGCACGACAAGCTAGGACACCGTCTATTTGGTCCATATAGATCAAATTTTTAATCATGAACCCTCCCTCAGTCAATGGTGTCCTGCTTTAAATCTGGTCACCTTACTATAGGAGACAGCTTTAGATTAGCATTTTGATGGATGCAGTTGTGGAGAAATCTCTCTCTGTGGAGACTGTGTCCTTGCGGCTATATTATCTCATGACAGTGGAGGGCTTTCTTGGATTACGGCACTGGTCTTCCAGGCCTTGTGGTCACGAGGGCAGAGATTAGAAGCCTTGCACTTTCATCCAGGTTCTCAGTCTCCCACAATTCCCACTTTTGATTGAGGAACATTTTTGAACAATAGAATGAGAGCCAATATTTCCGTTTTCTGAGCAGAGGTCTCACAGGTGTGAAAGGACTGAGAGAAGGGTCCCCAGTAGGCTGCTAGGCCATTACTATAACTGTCTGTAACATGTAGGGCTCTTTCAAGCGGCTTGCGGGGAGGGGGTGAGATTTTAATAAAGATCCATGAAGTCCATTTCGGGAACTCCCAGAGTTTCCCGGAGAGTCATAACAGTCTAATTTCCCACAAAATTCAGCCAACGCTATTTAAAAGCCTGTAGAAAATTCAAAAGGAGTTTTTTATCTGAACTGGGGTATAAAGTAGAATTATGATTGATAGAGCGTACCCACTCAGTTCTGGACAGTGATGCCAGTCTTTGGCAATTAGCTGAGCAATTTATCCCCAATAAGGCCACATGGCTTTGGGACCCTTTTTGCCTAAATGTACCATCCCACCCCCCACCCCAAGGCTTTTCCTCTGGGGCTAGCGTAGCAGTGGGGTGATCTGGATCAATGTGATCCATCTCTCCCTGGCTGATGCATTGTTCCGCAAACTCTAATTCCAGTTGAACCTCAGGGGTAAGCTCTCTGGAACTATTCAGCTGGGGGTCGCCTTTTAGTGTGTTCAAGTGCTGGAGGAGGGGGGGGTGTCTCGCAAAGGTCATGTCCAATTTATATCTCCCAGCACCTTTTGAAAATCATGTAATGTCCGTAGATGGTCTTTTCTAATTTAGAGTTTCTGTGGTCTAATGGTGGTCCAGTCCACTACTCTTCCTACGTATGCATTAGGGCTCCTTGTCTGGATCTTGTCAGGAGCAATTATTAATCCTGCCTGAGAGATGGGCTCACTGATATGAATATAAGTTTGTTGTAGCATTTCATTATCAGGTGCTGCTATTAAGATATCATCCAAGTAGTGGATGATATAAACTCCAGGAAAAAAATTCTGACTGGTTCTTGAGACTTTTCCTATAAAAATGGACAGATGGTGGCGCTGTTCACCATGCCTGAGCTACAGTCTTCCAAAGGTATCTCGGATTTGGAGCTCGGATTGAACTCAGGGATGGTGAAGGTGAATTTTTCATAATCAGCAGGAGCTAAGTGGAGAATTTAAAAACAGTCTTTTAGAGCTATAACTATCAAGGGCCATCTCTTTGGAGTCAGACTTGGTGAGGGAAGGGCTGGTTGGAGGGCTGTATGATCAAATTAACTGCCCTAAATATGTCCTTATGAACGACCTCGTGTAGTGCCTGCAGTTTGTCTTTATTAAAGGACCACTGTTCTATCAATATGGGGTCATGGGGTTTCCAAGAGGGTTTAACGGGTGCAGGCTTTATAACAGCAGCCCCTGTTAAACACGTGAATACCCTAAGCCATAACGGTAATATTTAGGAGGGGTCTCAATTAGAGAAGGATCTCTTTGTTCATTTTTTCCAAGCCCCTCCTCCCCCTTTGCACCCTATTTTCTGCCTCATGACTTGTGGTATCGAATTTTGGGGAGGTGTGTCCAGCCTTGGCCACCCCCCCCCCTGTTGTAACAGAGCTCTTTCTCAAAGTGTATAGACATACATATGAATATAGGCTTAAGTAAGCTGGACTGCCCTTCAGGTCCTGTGCACAGCAGCAGTTCACCACATTGCCGTACTCTTTCCTGAGTAATTCTCCCGCTTTCTCCAGGTTGAATTCAGGAGCAGCCAGTGGTCTCCCCTTTGCCTAGTTGATTACTCCGTACAGTGACATCAGCTCCTGAATCTAAAAGCCCTAAAAACCATTTCCCCTCAATTGCTAACTCCATATAGGGCATACTTGTCTATGCATAACAGCGCTTCAATGTACTCTGACCTACGAGCAAGTCTGCTTCCTCAGGTGCTCTTGCATGAGTGGTGGTTGTTCTTCCAAAAGGAATGCGAGGAATTAAAAGTAATCAGCCTATGTGGTCTCCCTTTTTGATAGCCCAGGGGATTTCAGATTTAATTACAGAGTTGAGCTCCTCTTCAGAATCTTGATCAATAATTCCAGTACCACTTTGAGCACCTTGGACGTTTAGTCTAGATTTCCCTCATCAAAGTTCTACTATTGAGGTCCTTATACTTCGATTTTAATGATTGCTGAGGTGTTAGTGTCAATTGAACTTCTTCCTGGCTTGTTCGATCTACCACTGCCCTCCCTCTGGTGGTGGGACTGAGTGAGGCCTAGGGCATTGTGGGTAAAATTGGACTGAAACTGTGCCCTCCAGTTTCCATTGGGTGGGCTCGGAGCTGGCCCTGCACCCCATTTCCCAACTGGGCGGCATTGACTAATGGGTTCCCTTTGCTACTGATTTTTGAGCAACACTGACTTACCCAATGGTTTCCCTTTTTTTTTTTTTTGGCATTGGGCACAGACAGGGTTCTGGGAGCCCCGCCCAGGGCCACTCCTAGTTGTGGGACTGGGCAGCAGACATTGCCCACATTCTTTTGAAAATGTCCAACTTTTCGGCAATTCAAACATTTTTCCCGTTGGTTTCTTTAAATTGGCCATAGCAGCAGCTGAAAGTTCAGCTTTATAGGTTTCAGATCCAACTCCCCTACAAATCTTGATCGTCTAAAATCCTATCCTGTTCCTTGAAGGGACAGATTTCAGCTTGGCAATCATGATTAGCATTGTCACAGCTGGAGACCACAGCAGGTGTCCTGCAATGTCTGAGTTATTTGTGCTTTTAGGGACTGCCTCCTGCAGATGGGACAACCTCTCTATAGGGCTCATCATTCTGCCAGCTACCGCAGGGTAACTAGGCCGCTTTTCTCCAGATGCTACTACTACCCTTTCCCAGGCTCGCAAACAAGTATCACATGTTTGCGAAAATCCTTGCTCGGTGATCTGCAACTGGGCCTCCACGGTGACAAAAATCATTGTTTCCCAACAACAGATGCATCCCTGCAGGCACATCTTGCTCCATGTTTTTTCAAGCTTGCCTCCCGCTCCCTCATCCCACCAAGTGTGGTGTTGTAAATAATCCAATGGAGAGAGGCAAGTTTTAGTCAGTGCATTCCAGTCTGCCAATAGAAGGAGACCAGATCATACCAATTACAAATGGGGAGTCTGCTCCATAATGTTTAACTGCCTGCTTGATGCCTTTTAAGAGCTTGAAAGGGAAGGCACCATATGCCTTTCTTTATAGCCCTGTGAGTCTTCTGCATCCAGCGGTCATTCAACCACATGATCAGGGAAAGCTAGTCTGGTCTCTACATTTCCTTCTTCTCTATCCATTTTTCCATTCTTGAAAGCACAGGTGCCCTGTGGCTTTGTTTAACAGACCTGATCTTATCTTTAGAACCCTTGTCCTCTAATGTCTTATCGTCCTTGGGCTCTTGGGGGGTGAACTGCCCTGCAGGTGCAGAGACTTTGCTCATAGGTCCTGTATCGAAGCAGAAACCTTAGGTAATAAGTCCGTCTCTGCTTCTCCAGTTTTCTCCAAAGTTTCCTCATCCAGCTCATATTCATGCAATGAGTCTGCTTTTGTAAGTTTGGATAGCTCACACAAGACTTTTCACTAGACTGATGATTCCTTCTTTTCTTTCCCTGTCTGCCAAGGGTCTATACCCATTTTAACTAGTGCCCACAGAGAGCAGGTCTCCAGAGGGATATTCTCCCTTTCCCTGGGAGCCTTCATTACATTTTAGCAACTTTTCCCCAAGTCCTTAGATCTAAAGTCCCTTCCTCGGGGAACCATGGGTTGTACTTGTTCACTACCTGTAGAAAACCTTGCATCTTTCTCTTGTTGTTGCTACACACTGTTGTTTCCAGAAGTGGGTGAGTATAATACAGCAAGGTTGAGACTTACATACACTTTGTCTCATGACCCTATTACAGTTTTCTAATCTCCCCAACAAGATTCGCACTTCAAAATAAATCCCCAAACTCAGGTTACCTTTGGGAGTTTCACAGTTGTTCTATGGGGCCCCTCCCCACAGAGCTTTCCTTCAGGTGCCTGTTTGAGGTGCCACTGATGGGATCCAGCCCCACAGTGAAACGGGTCCTTAGGAGCAACATGTGCTATTAAAAGAAATAAGGAGGTACTAAGTACAGGGCACAGGGGTCAAATCTTCCATGTCAGGAGAAGGGAGACAGTTTATTCAACAATTAGTTTCTATAGTAGCAGGGCCTGCAAGCCTCCAGGAGGCAAATACACAATAGAATGGGCAAAGTGTGACTCTGGGACATCCTGAGCTCCTTAGGGGAACACTTCATAATATGCATGTAAATGTAGGAGACAACAGAAGTAGTTGGCTCCTTAAGTGATAAGGATTAAAGGAACCCTACTGCTCTTAAAGACAGGCATCCTTTAGCCTAATGTGATGAGCCAGACACCTGTAGGAGACAGCTTAATATTAACACTTTAATGGAGCACAGGGGTGGAAAAATCTCTGTGGAGATTGTGTACTTTCAGATTTATCGATTATCTTGTGACTGTGGAGGTCTCCTTTAATAATAGCATTGGTCTTCCAAGCCCTGTGACCACAAGTGTAGAGATTAGGCTGCATACAATTTCATCCAGGTTCTCTGTCTCCCAAAATGTACAATTCTTCTTGATATGATTCAACTTGAATTGTATGATATATATGGGTGAAGTGCCAATAAAACTGCTAAAAATAAAATACAATTTACC